AGAGAGAGAGAGAGAGAGAGAGAGAGAGAGAGGATGAAGTTGCAAGAGAAGGTAACCCAACCCCCCCATCCCCCGCCTTTCAAAGGGTGTGCAATATTGAACTTGCCGCCTGAGCGGTTCCTTCTTTGGTGCCAGGGGGCAGCTTGGGGCAGAGCAAAAGGGCAGAGGAGCTGAAGGCCAGCTGGCGAAAGAGAGAGAGGGCAATTAGCCATGGCCAGAGCATTGTTCCAAGGGAAATTCCAGAGGAGGCCAAGGGCCGCGGGTGCAAGAGCCAAAATGCACCAAACTGATGCCAGACTAAAATCTTAGCACGGGATCTTCAGCTGACTCTCCCCGCCACCCCCAAAGTTGCTGCCCTGCGAAGAGAGCCTGGCTTGTGAGAAGCTCTTTCTCCAGAGCAGTGTTGCTCTTGTTTCTGTGGCTTGGGGGCTCTCCAGACCCAGACCCCACCACCCACCGCCCTGGCCTGTCAGCTCAGGAAAGGGTTGATTCCTGAACCACCTAATTCAGTTCTGGGATGGGCCCATCCCAGAATCAGGTCAGCCTCCGGGTTCCCTGGAGCAAAGCCTTTCCTTCTCCCAGTCTCTTAACTCAGGGGGAGTCCAGAAAGTGACTCACAAGGGGGGAGTCCCTTGCCACACTCATTGGCAATGGAGGGTGGAGGAGCAGCCGAAGGTTGGTTCCGTGGCTTGGGGGCAGCTGGCTGGATGAGTTTGGCTGAGAACAGCTGGACTCCTACCAGCCAGAGATTCCTTCAGGGCTCCTTCAGCATAGGGGAGCCACCCACCGGGCCTGTGACCCTTTGCCCCTCTCCTTTAGCTACTCTTCGTCTTCCCAAACATCATGAGATGGATCCCTGGGCCGCATCGGAAAATCTACACTAATTACCTGAAGCTGGCAAAGTTTGTGGGTGAGCGGCTGGAGATGAACAGGCAGACCCTGGACCCCAACTCCCCGCGGGATTTTATTGACTGCTTCCTCATCAAAATCCAGCAGGTACCGTTGAGAGGGGAAGGGACTGGGAGGCTCAGCAGGACTTTTTCTCAGACTCCCATTCCCATGGTCCCTTAGAGGTGGCCATGACAGCTCCAGGGTCTCCACCTGGGGTCTTTGCACCCAGGGCTGTGCAGCTGCCATGGCTTTGCTTGGGCGTCAGGAGAGGCCAGGGTGGTAGCTGTGGCTGAGGGAGCAATGCTCCCGAAGGCCACAGCCCTTCTCCTCAACACTTTTCTGTGGGGAGTGGTGCCCAACAAATGGGGGGAGGGAGGTTCTAATTTCTGAAGCCAGGTCTCGTGGCCTCAGTTCCCCATCTGGACAAGGACAGTCTTCTCAGCAATGTCTCAGCCCAAAGGGTCTGGAGAACCAAGCAGGACTCGTTTCTCCTCCCTCGTCCCTTGCAGGAAAAGAACAATCCCGATTCTCACTTCAACGAGGAAACCATGTCGAAGACCACCGTGAACCTCTTTTTTGCCGGCACCGAGACGGTCAGCTCCACCCTCCGCTATGGGCTGCGCATCCTCCTGAGGCATCCTGAGGTGGAAGGTAAGGACGACTCAGGGGAGCCTGCAGTGTCTGAGCACGTGGGACCCTCGGTGGAGAACCGTGACCCGGAGTTCACAGCCTGGTTCTCGAGGGCATCACGTGCATCTTGGGACAAAACAGCAGCCTTCTGGGAATTCCTCCCTCCCTCCCTCCCTGCCCCCTCCCAGTGGGAAAGTCCAGGGAGCCTTCTGGCTGACACTAGACCTTTTCTCACCCCCCCCACCCACGGCAGAGAAGCTGCACGAAGAGATTGACCGTGTCATTGGGGTGAACCGCAGCCCTTGCATGGAGGACCGGAGCCAGATGCCCTACACAGATGCCGTGATCCATGAGATCCAGCGCTTTGCTGACATCGTCCCTATGGGAGTGCCCCACACGGTCACAAGGGACATTGAATTCCGTGGATACAGCCTCCCCAAGGTTTGGCAAAGTAGAGGACATCAGCCCCCACCATGGTTAGCTTGGGCTAGTTTCCAAAATGAGAACTGCACCCCGTCTTCTCTCAAATCTAAATGGTGAGAGAGGCACGAGAATGCTCTGAGCAGAAAGCACTCTGCACATGTCTACGATTACTCCCTTCTCCATTGTGATGCAGGCTGAACAACAGATTGGAGAAGTGGGCTCGGGAGAGCCTGGCGACAGCCAAGACTGTCTGATGTCGTCTAATTTATATTTATTTATTTTTAATTTATATTTATTTATTATGTATTTATAATCATCCCTTCTTCCTCCAATCCCAGGATCTCAACATCATTCCCTTGCTCTGTACGTCCCAGTCTGATCCCACCCAGTTCAAGAACCCAAACACCTTTGACCCAACCCATTTCCTGGATGAGAATGGGCGGTTCAAGAAGAATGATGCCTTCATGGCTTTCTCAGCAGGTAACGGGAAGACAGGAGGCGGCCAGCCCCACCGGGGCCCCCTCCAAGCACTCCTGCTCTGCCCTGAAGGCTGCTGGCTCAAGGCTCCCAGGGACCCTTAGGCCTCCCTCCACCCCTCGGTGGTCAGAGGTCCTTGGGGAGTCCTGCAGTGTCGTAACCCAGAGGTGGGGCGGAGAGGCTAATCTGTTTTTCTGGCAGCAGGCCAGGGTAGAAGTGCCCACAGCCCCTCGCTTCCTTGCATTTCCCATTGGAGTCGCTTGAGGCAATAGAAGGAGCAGCTTTCTCCAGCTGCAGCCTGCCAGATGTGCTGGACTGCAAAGCTCATCATACTCAGCCAGCAGGGGAGGGAAGGGGGGTGAGAGATGGGGCTTCAGAAAGAGCGGAAGGGGCAACCGGCTCCCCCAAGCTTTTTGGTGATGGGTGCCTGGCCTTTCTCTCCCTCACAGGCAAGCGGGTGTGCCTGGGTGAAGGCCTGGCCAACATGGAGCTCTTCCTCTTCCTCACCAACATTCTGCAGAACTTCCAGCTGAAGGCCCTGATGAGCCCTGCAGACATCGACATCACCCCGGAGTCCACCGGCTTGGGCAGCATCCCTCGCCCTTATCAGTTCTGCCTCCTCCCCCGATGAAGGCGCTGGGGGCCTTGGGGGCCCGCAGCAGGGCAGGACTGCCTTGGGTTCTTGGCCTCCCAGCCCAGCTGTGCGTTTGGGTTCCCTGCCCCCTCTTGCACCCTCGCCGAGCAGTGGCCCCCCAGTCCCCTCCCTTTCACGACGCTGCCCTGGGCTCGCTTTCCTCTCGCGCCAGTGCTCCCAGTCTCCCAGTCAAGCATGCCCCCACCTGCCCACCTGCTGCCTTCCCTGTGGGACCCCCGGAGAGGCAGAGCACAGAAGGTTACGCCAGGTTCTGCTCCCCTTTGAGGGCTCTCTTTGAGGGCCTTGTCTGCAGCTCTCAGGAGCTTCAGCAGCAGCCCAGGGAGGCTGCATTTGGCACCCCAGCAGGCATTGCCAAGTGCCAGGGAGGAGGGCGTTTGGTCTAATCCTGAGGCAGAGCACGGATTTCAGGTGCAGAGTCCATCTGCCCTTGAGACGCCAAGGGCGGAGCTGAGCTGCTGCAGAGGCGATCTTTGGAAGAACAAGGCAGGCTGGAAAGGTTCTTCGTTAGGGAGTGTTTGCTCCGGTTTCTTTACCCAAGGCACACTCACTTCATGCTAAGTTTTCAAGGGGGGGGGGAAACTTGCTGAGGGGGTGCCATGGGTGGGGATGCTGAGCAAACAGGCTGGCCATCCAACAGGCATAGCGAGAAGCTGCTTAGGGGATCTTTCAGATGGGGTGGAAATTAGGGGCTGGGTTGTGCATTAGGTCTAGGTGCCCACTGGAAGGAAAGCCACAGCTTTGCAATCTGCAGTGTGTCTCCCAGTCAGCCAGGTGTGAAAGCTCGTGGGTGGTTCCTCCTCCCCACAGCAACCGGTGAAGCTGATGGTTTTCCAAGGGATCCCCCCTGCCCCCCCCCCCGTACCTAGAAGGATTTCTGTGACCCTGCTACTCCAGGGTGCGCCAGCCTGGGCTGTCCCTTACCCAATATCTTGTTGGCTAGAAGTCATGAGAGCCTTGGAGAAAATGAGGTTTGGAACATGTCCTGATTGCGCAGTCCAGGTGCAATCCTGCCCAGATTCCCACCCCCTCATCCTGAACACAGAAGAGAACGTACTGTGCTTGCTTGCTTGGTTAGCGTTTTATTTAGAATATTTCTGTCCCACTTTCCAACCCCTGAGGACCCGCAAAACAGCTTACAAACAATTCTGAAAAATAGAAACCCATTCAAATGTATTAGCAGAGCAAAAGAAAGTCTATAAAAGCAGGGTTATTACAGGGCCCCTCCACTGCCCTATGCCGAGTTCTCCAAACCAAGCCTCTCTCCCTGAAAAGTCTCAAGAAAGGGGGCCAAGGGGAGGGGTCCCACTTTTTCCACAAGGGAAGCATCTTCCAGAGTTTTTTAGAACTGCCAGTGTTTTTTAACACAAAAACGTGGTAACGCCCCATCACTGACCTGGAACCAACCTTGGGCAACATTTGGTATGGTGCATTTCAATTTTTGCGTAGTAATTTCTTTTTGTCCCTCTGCAAAATTACCCCATTTCAACCCCAACCACAGGGCCGGGGAAATTCCATAATATAATATCCATGAACAGTTCTCAAGTTCAGTATTAGATTTGGGGGGGGGGGGCGTGTGTGTGATAGAATTCAGCAAAATGATTCCTAGTGTTTTGTTACATAGCTTACATAACAGCGTTTACTCAGTGTGTTCCTTTTTGTCTGTTTACATTTGGTATTACTTGAAACCATTCCAGGTGGAAAACGACTCCCAGCCAGAGCACATTCAGACTGAGGTTCAGAGGAATAAGGAGGGGTTTTGAAAGCATTGCAGTTCCCCTGTTTTGCAGCCATGAAAGAACGCAGATCGTGAAACCCGATGCCTGTAATCTGATTTAGAGCAGGAGAACCTGCAGCTTCTGTTGAGGGACGGCCCCTCTGGCGAGATCCTTCCAGAGTGGGCGTGTGGCAGGGAGACTGGCAAGGGCTGGCGGAATCTGCGACTCCCTCCCGACAGAACCGCTGCGCGACTGTTCCCCTGTTCCCCTTCCCTAAAGGATACTGCTGAAGGCTGGGCGGGGCGGGGGACCAAGCGTTGTTTTCTGCGGGGAAGGACTGGCCCTAGGACCCCTTTGGGGCTCACCACGCTCGTATCTTTCTCTGCCCGGCTCCCGGATCACAGTTCTAGTAAAAAAATAAAGCAGATCCCACCAACCTGAAATCCGCCTGGCTTTGGTCTGATGATGCGGGAGAGCCAAGTGTGGCGGGGGG